AAATTGTTGATAAAGAAATTTTTAAATCACCCATCTGACAGTGAATATAAAAACAATAGTTGTAAAGATCACATAATGATGGAAATACAAATGCCTACCTCACCAGTCATTCAAATACCAATCTTATAATATTTTTTTAAATAAAAATATTTTAAAATCACAGACAGCTGAGCCCTGCTCACAGCTCATTCTGTTGAGTAGATTTTAGATGGAAATAAGGGGAGAAAGGTTTTCTCTTAAATATTTCAAGGAGCAACCCAACTCAACCTATTTTGCAAGATCTCAATCTGTAGGTCAATAACAGGAATGACACTGCTATAGTCCAAATTCAGATCAAAACTCACTTATTGTAGCTTGAGCCCCAAGTAAATGGAGAGAAATGTCCACAAATTCTCTTGAAGTAAGTAGTATTATGATTTTTATTTTAGGAATAAGGAAACTAGTGTCCAAAGATGTTAAGTAACTTTTATTATTCACATAATTGGCATATTATGTGAACTTAAAGCTGAACTTAAAGCGCAGGTACTCCAAAGGCAGACTCCAAGATTATGAACTCTGCTTGGTTTGTAGAAGTCTACCCAACTCACACCTTCCTCCCTTGATTCCAAAAAATATACAATATCTCAGACAAAAATAAATAAAGCTTATTTTCCATTACGTTTTAAGAGTGAATAGTAAACCCTCATAAAAGTACATTACAAAAAATCATCCCATGACAAAAAGTGCTAACAAATTTTAAATTATCATCTCCCCTTCATATCTCCTCAAGTAAAAAATTAAAGTTATAACAATAGGCATAAATATAGGTGCAATACTCTACTTAGTATTCAAGAAGTCCTTGGTTCAACCCCCAGCAACAAGTTAAGGAATGGACAGATGAATGAATGAATAAATCAATAAATAAAATGTCACACATATTAATTGTACCTCTAATATGTACCAAATCTTTCTTAACCCTACTGGTATAATAGTAAATAAGGTATACATGATGCTTGCCCTCAAAATTCTAATAGGAAAAACAGAAAATCAAGCCATTACAAAGGAATGTGAAAATTACATTATTGAAGCTTTTATTTTATACTGTATTCTGTAAACTTCTCCATACTTTCTCTGGGCAAATAAAGAGGAAAGTAAGTGAATGGGAGTGGCCTAAGAAAGGAAAGGTAAATAAAATACAACTGTGGAGGAAGTAGGAGTGTTCAATGAACAAACTGTCTTCAAACAAAACCAGAAAAAGAAAACTAAGGGAATCTCCTACACATTCCAGAAATTCTCAAATGATTCTTTCATTGTTTTTGAAAGTTAAATTATATATTGCTGCTTTATATAGCTCATTTCTTGAAATGAATTTCTTATAATTTTCTTGTAGTTGAGCAAATAAGATTGGATTACGGTATAATTATAATATTTATTAAGCGTTTGTCTTACCAGTGACTTGATACCATGCTAGGAGTAAGATAAATAAAATAGGAAAAAAATACCTTCCACCCATAGGCAAGTGGGGGACACATTTAAGAAGGAAGGAATTTTGATGCAATGGGTGATGTATCCTACTGTGTAAGCACAAAATGCCCTAAGAATGTATCCAAAAGTCATCTGAATTTTATTATTAAATCTAGAAATCTTTTGGTAAAGATTATGGGGTATTATATGTGGAAAATCATGTCATCTGAAAATACTGATAATTAAACTTTTTCCTTTCCCATCTTTTTTTTACTAGTTCCATTTTAATTTTTTAAATTTCTTTTTGTTGATTTTATTGATACATTTTAGGCATACCATACAGTTACATTCATTATTGGTATCTTGTACCTTTATGTGACAGGTCTTGGTTCTCATTTTTTTCCCCCTGTCCCTGCCCTCCCTTCACACCCTCCTATCTTTATTCGTTTTCTTTCTCTTGTCTAAAGACTCTGGCTGATGTTTCTAGAAGTATATTGAAGAGCAGTGGTGATAGTTGACATTCTTGTCTTGTTCCTGAATGATGGTTTTCAGTTTTTGTACATTTAGTATGATGTTTGATGTTGGAGTGTCATGGATGGCTTTTATCAGATTAAGATAAAGATTTTTTTATAGGGTTTTCATCATGAATGGATGTTAGACTTTGTCAAATGCTTTTTCTGAGTCTATTGAGACGATCATATGTTTTTTGTCTTTCCTTCTGTTAATATGGTATTGATTTGCATATAGTATTAATATGCATATGGTGCATATTGATATAATATGGTATTGATTTGCATATGGTGAGCCATCCTTGCATCCCTAGGATGAATCTTACTTGGTCATGCTGTGTAATCTTCTTGATGATTTGCTACAGTTTGTTTGCCAGCATAGCTGAATACAAAGTTAATACTCAAAAATCAATAGTGTTCTTGTACACAAATAATAAATTCACTGAGAAAAAAATTAGGGAAACAACACCTTTCATAATAGCATAGAAAATGAAATACTTAAGAATTAACATAACAAAGGAAGTAAAGACCTTTACATTGAAAATTACAGTATTCTGAAAGAGATGATCAGAGAGGATATCAGAAAATGGAAGGTATCACTTCTTCTGTGGTAGGAAGAACCACAGTGAAATGGCCGTACAAAATTGTTATACAGATTTAATGCAATCCCAATCAAAATACCATTAATATATCTCACAGAATTAGAGAAAACATTTCTAAAATTCATTTGGAACCAGAAGAAACCTATAATATCAAAAACAGCTATGAGTAACAAAGGCAAGGTGGACAGCACCACAATCCCTGACTTGAAATTATATTATGGAGGTACAGTAATAAAAACAGCAGGGTAAAATTAATGAACCTGAGGATCAGTGGGACAGACTAGAAGATGTGGGAAGAAACACACTAGCCACCTTATCTTTGACAAAGGAGGCAAATATGTTTACTGGAAGAAAGATAGCCTCTTTAATAAGTGGTTTTGGAAAAATTGGATTTCCAGATTTGGTAGACTAAAAGTAGACACGTCTCTCACCATTCATTAAATTAAAATAAAAATGGATGAAAAATCTCAATATTAAAACAAACATTCAATCTGCGGGAAGAGAGAATAGGTGGAACTGAGTTTTTGAACAAAATCCAAATCACATACAAAGAATTGAAAAAAATCAGACCCCTCAAATTTAAAGACCCAATTAAAAAATTGGTATCTGAAATGAATAGACACTTCTCAGACAAAGAAGTATAAACATCAAATAAAAATATGAAAAAAATGTTCATCAGCTCTGGTCTTTCCAGAGATGCAAGTTAAAATAACACAGATTTCATCTCACTCCAGAAAGAATGGCTAATATCTAGAAATCAATCAACAACAAATGCTGGGGGCGTGGCATTGTGACAAAAAAGGAATCCTTCTCCACTGTTGGTGGAAATGCAGGCTGGTACAATCACTGTGGAAATCATTGTTAGAATTCCTCAGAAAACTGGGATTATAGGTCTCATTTGACCCAACTGTCCCCCATCTGGGTATTTTCCTGAAAGAATTAAAAGTATCATACCAGAACAATATATGCATACTCATGTTTATAATGACACAGTTTGGAATCATGGAAATCATGGATACAACCTAAATGCCCATGAACAGAAGAATGGATAAAAAAGATAAAGTTTTTTTTTTAATGCAGTGCAGTACTACTCAGCCATAAAGAAGGACAATCTTGAGATATTTATAGATAAATGGATGCAACTTGAGACTATACTCTTAAGTGAAATAAATTGGACACATACGTGTAAATATTGCATTGTCTCTCTGGTGTGAGAAAGGGAAAATGTCAGGGCCAAGATGTGTAATAGATAATGTGAAATGGTGATAAATTGTAGAAAAGGAAAGAGAAGTAGTGAGGGGAAAAGGGGAAAAGAACAAAAAGAACAGAAAAAATGAGAAAAGAAGAAAAAAATGGAAAGAAAGCTTTGTAGATAAGGAGGACACCAGGGGTTGAAGGGAGGGAAAGTGATTGGAGTAAAAAATAATCAAGATGTACCCTGTATAGTTACACATTTCCCTTTGATGAATGTGATCATTATATGTATCTAAAATGTACCCATAAAATTTTAAAAGTCACCTGACCTTGTCTTTCTGTGTTGAAAGCCTTCCCAGAGGTTGTGGGAATCTCATACCTGAAGCATGAGCTGAGCAAGGCAAAGAAGCTGAGAGATGAGGGCGTCCTCAGCTAAGGGGAGCGGTGTGGATGCAGTGCTGACTGTCAGCTGAATCCAGGTCTGCTGGAGAGAGGAATACAGGCGCACGGGAGGTATAATCATCGCATCGGGTAATACTAAGAGAAATGGTCCGAGAGGGAGAGTTCTGGGGTTCCGTGCAACTGGGGCACTGAGTGATGGGGAAAAGATGAGTGGTGATGATTAAAAGAGTAATGAAGGAAGACGATGTGCAGTTTTGGCAGCTAGGTAAATGATCACGCTTTCAGTGTGATAACGATCTTGGAAACAGGGAGTTTGCAGCGGTGTTTGATAACGATCTTAGAAACAAGACAGAGTGGTGAAGTTTAATTTTATATATTGAGCTTGGTGTCTATGGAAAATTCAAATGTAGATATCATCAATAAACATATGGGCCTGAAGTTCAGAAGTGAATTCAAGTTATTTGGGAAGAAATTCTTTATATAATAAGTATTAATCTATAAAAGTCTAGTATATGTATTTTTTAAAGGTATTGAAATTATTTCTAAAATGTAAGTGGAAAAAGTAAGAGAGGGCAGGAGGAAAGAAAGAAAGGAAAAATGAGGTAATACATTTTGCAGTTATAAGGCCCCAGTTCTGGCCTACACACTTTAATTTGTATTAACTCACTTTTGTACTAGCCATATTAAATAATGAGATGTTTTATTTTTTCAGAGCTTTCAATTGAAGCTTTCTGATTCCAAGGCCAATGGTCTTTCTGTTATACCTCATTTCTTCCCATATGAGAAAATTCTATGCTGGTATGTGGGAGGAGGGCCTATTTAAAGGGAAACCTGTATTCTTCTGCAGTAACTAATGCTGCTTGCAGATTGAGCATATCTTCCCACTAAGGCTTTTCTTCAAGACAATCCTAACTTCCTTATTCCTGAAGCTGTAGATCAGTGGGTTGAGCATGGGTACCACAATTGTATAGAACACGGTGGACACTTTCCCCTGGTCCATAGACAAGTCAGAAGAAGGATGCAGGTACATGAATGCCCCAGACCCAAAGAAAACAAAAACAACAATTATATGTGAACTACAAGTGCTAAAGGCTTTAAATCTTCCTTCAGTAGAACGGATGTGAAGAATGCTAGCAAGGATGAACGTGTAGGAGACAGTGATGGTGAGGCTGGGCACACCCACATTAAAGCCTACGATAATGAACACCACCAGCTCATTGACCTGAGTGCTGGTGCAGGATAGCTCCAGCAGGGGAAAGATGTCACACATGTAGTGGTTGATAGTGTTGGCCTCACAAAAAATCAACCTCAGCATGCATCCTGTGTGGGCCCCAGCAGCAGCAAATGCTCCCATATACACAATCACAGCCAGCAGAAAGCAAACCCAAGGGGACATCTTAGCTGTGTAAAGCAGGGGCTTGCAGATGGCCACATAGCGATCATAGGCCATGACCGTCAACATGTAGCATTCTGCACTGACAAAAACGCAGTAGAAAAAAAGTTGAGTCATGCAACCTGCATAGGAAATGGTGTTTATCTCTGACACGAAGTTTACCAACATTTTAGGGGTAATAACAGAAGAATAACACAGATCAATAAAGGATAAATTGAAGAGGAAGTAGTACATGGGAGTGTGAAGGTGAGAATTCAGTCTGATTAGAGTGATCAAGCCCAGGTTTCCTGTTGCAGTGACAACGTAGATTCCCAGGAAGAGAAAGAAGAAAGGGAGCTGGGTCCCCGAGTATTCTGTTAAACCCACCAGGATAAACTCAGTGACAACGGAACTGTTTCCAATGTCCATTCTCTCCTAGCAGGATCTGAAACACAAGAGGGTGGAGTTATATTTGAGGCAGGACCCAGGTTTGCCATGCTCTGCCCCAGAAGCACAGAGAATCCACAAAGATTTAGTTCATTTTCTAGAAAGCTGAATCTGGATTTGTACAAGGAAAGCAAGTGCATGGGAGCCAGAAGCACAGTGTAAGCACACTGGAGAAATGTGTCGAGAGGAGGCAGTACAGAGATTTCTTTTCTCTGCTTCAATTTGTGGTTAACAAGTCCTCCACTTGATGCTTGTTTATCTTTACTCACCACACTCTGGCTTCCCTGAGTTGTCAACTGGTACACAGCATGGGTGCCATAAGCATTATGTCCATGGCAGAATTAAGGAAATAGACACAGATGTTCTTTGCTTCCCAAGCATGCATAGTGAGAAAGTCATTAAGTCAGCCTCAGAACCTGTGTGTGCTTCACAGGAAACTTGCTACAAAGCAGAAAGATTGGGAGCACTGCAAATTCTATCATCTTAGCAGTACTTCTTTCCTCCGCTTCCCTTCCACACAGACAGTTTAATTATCTGCACTTCAGGATTAGAGGTGGGAAAGCAGAAAAAGGTCACAGTACTTAAAAGCCTGGAGTCTCAGTGCTCACCCTCCTTATGCCTAAAGGCATCAGACTGTCCTGTGCCTCTCCACTACTGTTCTCCAAAGAGAAACAGCCCTGCTGCTGCAGGTGAAACAGTTCTGAACTGGAGCTCCCTTCCTCTTTGTGTGAGGAATGGCTCAGGACATTTATAAATCAATCTTTGACTCCCTCTGAGAGTTAAATGAAGATTGTGATTCTTAATTGTGATTTTCCCAGCTGTAATAATTAAATCACAAAAACAAAGCCCAAGGAGCACTCTTTTTTTTTCCCAAGTAATACTAAGTAGCATTTTGTAGATCATTTTATCCTGTCAAGGTCTCTGGGATAGAAATTTTTCTTTAAGCAAAACCAGACTGCTAATTTGGGGGTGCTTACATAAAATCTCTATTTAAGACTTCTGCTTTTTATCTACCATTGCAAAATTTGCATAATATTTATGAATGCTTAGACATGTGAATAAAATAATCAATTCTTATTTTAAAGGGAGGAGTCTCTCTATGCATATATATAATATATTATAACATGATAATTTGATAAGCATATGCATAGTGAAATGAATAATACTACAGTAAAGAAATTTAATATATTCATCTCTTTGCATTTTTTTATATATGGAAAGAGCATCTAAATTCTCTTTTGTGGTGATTATTTTATTTTTTTATTTTTTTTTTATTTTTTTT